GAAATTGCTTTCTGTCATCCATTATTTGGATGGTTGGAAGAAACTGTTGTTGTTCGTCTGTTTGTTTGTTGCTGGTGGTTAAAAAGTCATTTATATTCCAATGATGTATTGGTTCTTTCTCTCTCTCTCTCTCTCTCTCTCTTTCTCTCTTTCTCTCGTTCCCTTCATTGCCCTTTTCTTTTTCCGTCTTTCTCTCTTATAAAAAATGCTGACAAATCGTCAGCAAGAAGAAAACCTCAACTACGACTCCAGTAAAACTTTAATAAAATAATTATTTTAACCACAGATTGAGAACAGAATAATATCTAGAAATAATTATAATTGATTGAACAGATGCTAATCACAGCTCACCATGAGTGGGATTGTAGGGCTGGAGAGAAGGGCAGCAGCGAGCCACATGAAGCCGATGATGCGGTGGGTGCGACCGCGACTGCACCACAGCTTCGATTTTATTGGGTGGACTATCACTGTGTATCTAGAGGGGTTGGGGTTAGGTGAAGGAAAAATTTCTAGTTGTTTCAAATATTCATTTGTAAGCGAAATAGGTTTTTACTTTCATCATGTGTATATATATCTCTCTCTCTTTCGTTTTTTTTTGTGATTTACTATTCTTTTCCCCTCTTTCTTTCTCTCTCTCTCTCTCTCTCTCTCTCTATATATATATATATATATATATATATATATACATCTTTCCCTCTCTTTCTCTCTTTCACTGTCTCTTATTTATGTTTTTTTTAAACCTCCAAGAACCTCCCCACCCAGCCAGCCAGCCAACGACCGACTGACCGACCGACTGACCTTTCAATGCTGACAGCCACCAGATTGAGAACTGAAGTGCAGGCGACCAACATCTCAACGAAACTTGCCATTTTGCACATCCAACTCGGTCCGGTCCAGTTGAAAGCGTGCCGCGATGCAAACTCATACGGCAGACAAATGATTATAAAGATCAAATCGGCGACGGCCAGACTGAGTAGAAATAATGATATAGCGCTGTTCCACCTGTTGTCCATGATCATTGTGAAGACGACTAAGAAGTTGCCGAAAAAACTGATGCCGAAAATGACCGCGTAAATGGAGGCGAGGACCACTAGCGGGATTCTTTCGGTCCAGTATTCTTCGATTATTATCCTTAGATCGTTAACGTAAGTGAAGTAGTCTTCGTTGTTGCTGTTGAGAATGTTGATGTCGTTGTTGTGGTTGTTGCTGCTGTCGTTGTGGTTGTTGCTGCTGTCGTTGTGGTTGTTGTGATTGTGGTTGTTGTGGTTGTTGCTGCTGTTGTTGTGGTTGTTGTGGATGTTGTTGTTGTGGCTGATGGCGACGTTGTTGTTGATGTTGCTGATATTTAAATAGTTGTCTGAAACATTTGAAAGGAATGGAGTTGATTGATATTGTTGCTGTTGTTGTTGGTCAAGAATATGCGCTAAATTGAAAAAGGAGAGAGTAATTAATGATGGAGGTGATAGTGATGATGTTGTTGCTACTAATGATGACGATGACGACGATGATGATGGTGATGGTGATGATGATGATGATGACGACGACGATGGCAATGTTGGCGGAAGAGATAAGTAAATTTTGAAACTTCTTACGAGAATTTTCTTTGATGTTCTATCCTTCCATTTTGTATTTTCAAATGATGACGATGGTGATGGTGATGATGATGAAGTGGATGCTGTTGACGTCGACGATGATGATGATGGTGGTGGTGGTGGTGGCGCTGCACGTAATGATGCAGACGACGACGACGATGATGATGATGATGACGATAGTGATAGCAACAACAGCAACAAATATAGCACTATTGTTGAAGATGATGACAAAATGCTTCTACAAATTTCCGTGACGTATCTAACAATAATTCCAAATGGCACAATTGTTGGCATTTTGCAGCTTCGTTATTCCGTCAATATAATTCTTAGAAAATTTTTGTTGTTGTTGTTGATGATGATGTTAACGTTGATGATGATGATGATGTTAACGTTGATGATGATGATGATGATAACGCTGATGATGACAATGATGATGCTGATGTTGATGATGATGTTGCTACTCCTGATAACGATGATGATGACCAGGATGACGTCATTAGTCTGCTGATGACGTCAGTGTTAGATCAGAATTAAGGAATTCTTTGTTAGTAGAAATAATATGATCTATAAACCTTTATAAAAAAAATCACGATTATTAATAAAGGACTAACATTAATAAATTACAGACGCTACTAACTTACAGACGCTACTAACTTACAGACGCTACTAACTTACAGACGCTACTAACCTACAGACGCTACTAACCTACAGACGCTACTAACCTACAGACGCTACTAACTTACAGACGCTACTAACCTACAGACGCTACTAACTTACAGACGCTACTAACTTACAGACGCTACTAACCTACAGACGCTACTAACTTACAGACGCTACTAACCTACAGACGCTACTAACTTACAGACGCTATTAACCTACAGACGATACTAACTTACAGACGCTACTATTATAAATTACAGACGCTACTAACTTACGAACGTTTCTAAGTTATAAACATTACCGAACTACCGAAGTATTGATAGTAAAAGAGAAGAATGATGATAAACAAACTAATCAGCTAGTATCAATATCAATATTATCTTATTAGTATCAATCAGTGTTTCAATTGTTGGCGTATATATAATTGATAACATCGACCATATCAACAATCAGCAACACAACAGAAGCTACAATAACATCTTCCATCAGTGACAAACTTAACAGAGCACGCATCGATCTACAATAAATAAAACAAGCAAACATACCATGCATACATACATACATACATACATACATACATACATACATACATACATACATACATACATACATACATACATACATACATACATACATACATACATACATACATACATACATTCATACATACATACATACATACATACATACATACATACATACATACATACATACATACATACATACATACATACATACATACATACATACATACATACATACATACATTCATACATTCATACATGCATACAGACTGACATACATTGGTTGTACCATAAATTATTTAGTCACATTTGCGGCTTGAGATTTATTTTATTTGAAAACGAAATTCATATAACTTCACTACTACAAGAACCACTACTATTTCTCACCCTACTACTTCTACTTCTACTACTACTACTGCTACAACTTCTCCTACTACTACTATTACTACTACTTCTACTACTACTTCTACACTACTACTTCTACTACTACTACTACTACTACTACTACTACAACTACTACTACAACAACAACTACTACTACTACAACTACTACTACAACTACTACTACTACAACTACTGCTTACAGAATCAGTTCTACATTCCACATGGCAAACCTATCGAAACAATAATACTAATCAAGTAACGGAGAGCGAGGAATAAAGTCAAATTAGCAGGGCGAAAAAGATGTTGTCCTCCTCTCGTATTTACACACACACACACACACACACACACACACACACACACACACACACGCACACACGCACACACACACGCACACACATACACACACACATATACACATGCACACAAGTAAACAAACAAACACACAAACGAACCAACAAACAAACATACATACATACATACATACATACATACATACATACAAACATATGATATAAATATATTACAGTACCATCAAATTCTTGATGGTCTGATTTGTATTCCACTGAAAAGAAATGATGAGGAATGTCCCAAAGTTGAAACAGCATGCTCGCACTTTTTATCGCTCGTTTTTTGTTTTTCTAATTTTCCATTTGATTTGTTTGATGGTTCTTTGGTATGCTTTTGTCGGTTCTTTGGTATGTTTTTGTTGGTTCTTTGGTATCTTTTGTAAATAGTTGCAGCATCACCATTGTTAGCAGTTGTAGCAATAGTATCAATAGCAGTAGTAGCGGTAGCAGCAGAAGCAGTAGTAGTAGTAGTAGTATTAGTAGTAGTGGTAGTAGTGGTAGTAGTAGCAGTAGCAGTAGTAGTTGTAGTAGTAGTAGCAGTAGTAGCAGCAGCAGCAGCAGCATAAACGGTAAACAAGCAGGAATCAAATTTTAGAAATTGCACGTACGGATGTCGCATTGACTATAAATGCCGGAAACATATTGCTCTCAGTTATGAATTAGCTACTGTAAAAGTAGTAGTAGTAGCAGTAGTAGTAGTAGTAGTAGTATTAGTAGTGGTGGTGGTGGTAGTAACAATAGATGTAAAATATTTTTTGTAGACACAAAAGCTGTTTATTGTCAAGTTGACGAGTTTATTGAAAAACCATGTTACTAGCGTTGTCATGTCGGATTGGCAATGTGACAGATGATGATGACGATGACGACGATGATGATGATGATGTAACTGCTAATAATGTTGACGATGATGATGATGGTGGTGATGAAAACGAAGATGAAGAGGAAGAAGAAGATGATGATGATAATGATGATGATGATGATGATTGTTGCAGCAGCTTTTTTTCAGTTCATTTCTCAAAAGCTCTATCAAGTTGAAGCATTTGTTGGTCGAATGATTGATGGATGGTATGTGGATGAATTAAGATGGCATCATCATCATCGTCGTCTTCATTATTATCATCATTGTCGCGATCATCATCACTATCACCATCATTTTCTTAATGACGTCACGTTGTCATAATTTATTATCTGACACCCTTATCGTGAAACCCCAGATAAAAGAGGAAGCATAGAAACAAAACAAAACGTGACGTAAGCGTTCAATTGTGCCGGAAGATGAAGAATGACGTCCAAATTATTCATTTCTTTTGTGACGTAACACGACGGACGAGTGCCTTGAAGCTAGGTGGATCGATTTATTTGGCGCTTCATCCTTTGCTGGCAGTAGTGGTTGTTAGAATAGAGAAATAAAAAAAGGTGTAGAGGCATTTTGATTTGGTTACAAAAGTCACGAAATCAAAGATGAACAAATTTCAAAAGATGGAATCAGACTTGTAGAAATGATGTTAATTCTTATTATTAACATTTTCAATAAAAGTGGCTTCAGTTTTCTTCATGTTGGCTACATCAGAGTCTTTCATTTCAACTCCCAGTCAACCCGGTTTTTACATTTTAAGACCGCAAAACTTCATTTATACATTGTTATCATCATCGTCATCGTCGTCATCATCATCAGCATCATCTCATCATCATCATCTTCTTCGTCATCTCCATCCTCGCCATATGGGTCGCCTCAAATGTTTTCATCCGTAATAAACACTGACGTCATCAGAGCCATTTCTAAACATAAACAAAGAACAAGAATAAAAATAAGCAAAAACTGTTGTTTTTTCTATGCTGGCGATAATAGAACTTCTTACGAGAAATTTAATTATAAAAAACAAAGGCATGGGAAACTATTTCCGGTTTTAACTTTTATTCCAGGCACACAAAACGGGCGATTCAATTTCATTTTATTACTTTTCAATACCAACCTGCTGTGCGTGTGTGTGTGTGTTTGTGGTGGTGTGTAGTGTGTGTGTGTGTGTGTGCGTGTGTGTGTGTGTGTGGTGTGTGTGTGAATTCAAAAGCAAATTAAGAACGAAACAAAATGAAAGAAAACTCGGCCGGGAAAACTTCAAGATAAGAGCGGAAAAATAATGGAATGAATGAAATTGAAAAAATATACCAATGATTGACAGAAGAAAAAACAAATAAAATACAACATAATACAAATAAATACAACATAATACAAATAAATACGACATAATACAAATAAATGAAACATTAAAAATTTAAAAAATGTTAAAAATTGGTTGTTGTTGCTGTTGCTTGTGGTTTGTGGTTGATGGTGATTTTGTTGTTATTGTCATTGTTGTTGTTGTTGTCATTCTTGTTTTGTTGTCACAGGCAAATGTTTGAAACGTTGTAAGCCCGTGCAAAAACATTCAAAAGATTGCTACAATCTTCGTCATCATCGTCATCATCTTCATTGTCATCATCTTCAATGTCATCATAACGATCATCATAGTCCTCCTCTTCCCCTCTTCATCACAATCATCAAGATCGCCTTTTAAAAATGAAACAACCCAAAATGAACAAAAAGCATGACAAAATGACAGACACACGTCTAGAAATCTTTTACTGCAACAAACTAATTAAACACACACACGTACACACACACATATACACACACACACACATACACACACACATATATACTTATACATACACATGTGTGTATGCGTGTATGCGTGTGTGTTTGTTTGTAACATCTACAATTTCAAAAATAAATATTTGTTTTAGAAAGGTATATAAATAGTTTTTTGTTTGAAGAGTGCCAGTATATATATATAGTTATATATAGTATAACAAAACTAAGAACTAATTTTTATCAATAGTAACAGTAATAGTAATCTTTGTAGATAAATTAAGAAGTGTTGTGTGTGTTATGTGTATGTGTGTGTGTTTGTTTGTGTGTGTGTTTGTCTGTGTGTGTGTTTTTTTGTGTGTGTATTTATAGGTAGAAGTGTGTATTATTTATAAATGCATGGAGTTTGTCGGACGGATGGTTGTACTTGCGCAATTCATCTCGGTGTCTCACTGACTATCTTCTCCTTCTTTTTCCTCACCTCCTCTGCATGTTTGTCCTGCGCGTTTGTTTGTATGTTTGTTTGTATGTTTGTTTGTATGTTTTTTTATTGGTTTGAATGTTATTATATATGAGTTTTATAAATTTCAATCGAGTTTTAAAATATTTTTTGAGTCCGTGGAAAATGATTTGCAATTGAAACCTTACAGCAGGCATTCGACACAAGAAGACATCAGCATTTTTTTGAACAGTTAGTTGACTGAAGTGATCGGTGGTGAAGTGTAGAAATTCAGAAATGCACTCAATTCGAACGAACGAACAATCAGACAGACGAGCACAAACACTCATACAAACAAATACAAACATACGTACGAGGCAGCAACAGAAATACAACAACACATGTAAAGCCAAGGGAAACAAACACATACATGTTTTTTCAACTTTTCGAGCCTAGCCTTCTCCTGCATCTTCTTATGATTTTCAGCCTCCTTGATTTTCCTATCTATGTCCTTTCGAGAAAGTTCTCTTCCCTTACAATCTGAAGTGGAACAAGAGGAAGAGGAACCACGTGGTGTTGGCGGGACGTTGGATGCTGGAGGCTTGATGATGACCTCGAACGCCAGACCATCTTTCGATTTTTTCACTTTGTCTTTGCTCGCCATTTTTAGGTGTTGTTGATAGGAAGTTGTGTTGTTGTTGGTGTTGTTGGTGATGTTGTTGGTGTTGACGATCTAGATGTAGATATTTTGTTGTCGTTGTAGATGTTGTCGCTGCTGCTGACAAAAGGAGTGTTATGGAAAAAATTTTTGAATGCGAGAATTGTCGTTAGAGGCAGGCGTACCTGAGGAAGTTATTGTAACGAGAATAGAAAAACTTTGAAGATAGATATGAACGACAACAGCTTACAATGGCTAACAACCAGAGCAACAAACATCAACAGCAAACTGATGTAACAAATTTGTAACACAGACTGACAACAACTAACCAGCAGGAATTACAACAACTCAAACAAGCCCGAACGAATATTTACCTCCAACAATTCAGACCTGGAATCTTTTTGTTTCAAACGTTTAACAATCTCTCTCTCTCTCTCTCTCTCTCTCTCTCTCTCTCTCATTCCCTCAACATACACTCTCTTTCTACGCTTTTACCCTCTAACTCTCTATCAACTCGTGTAGCCCAACTTATGCCTACATTATCACACACACGTTAATGATTTTCAGTAGAAAAGCAAGCAGGGTGCAAACATACAAAACATACATACAAACAAACATATATACATACAATCCCACAAACATACAATCCCACACAAGCATACAAACATAGGCATTTTACCTTTATTTTGAGTTGGATTAGCAGCGTCGCTTGGCTACCGAGAATTTGTTTGCACTTGAGCTGCTTTTATTTTTGTTGCTAATCATAATAATAATAAAAATAATTATAATAATAATCATAATTATTATTACTGTCATCATCATCGTCGTCGTCCTCATCGCGATCATCATCATCATTTCCCTCCTTGTTGTCGTTACTATTGTTTGCGGCGTGTGTGTTTACACAGAGACGTACTAGTAGTAGTGGTAGTAGTAGTAGCAGTAGTAGTGGTAGTAGCAGTAGTAGTGGTAGTAGTAGTGATAATAGCAGTAGTAGTGGTAGTAGTAGTGGTAGTAGCAGTAGTAGTAGTAGTAGTAATCAAACAAGCATGTCCCAAAGTCAGTGGAATTATTCTAAAGTGATTTAATAGACTCCGTGCAACAAAATTTTTGGCATCGTGGTTTGATTGATGGAAGCCTCATTCATTCATTCATCCATTTGTTCATTCGTTCGTTCATTCCTCCATTCATTCATCCATTTATTCACTTGTTCGTTGATTTATTCATTTATTCGTTCGTTCTTTCTTTCTTTCTTTCAATCATAGCTTTCCGTCACACACTTTACATCTATTTTTTGTTCCTCTTTATATAAATTATTTATACTCAATCATTTCTTTCATTCGTTCGTTCATTCATTCATTCGCTTAATCATTCATTCATTCATCTTATCATTCATTCTTTCGTCTCATCATTCATTCACTCAATCACTCAACCACAATAAGCTTACAGGTGTACAATATCTTGCACAGTTTAATGATTAATAAATTATGAAAATAAGGTCTTAAATTTATCACCCAATTGATAATTTAATGAATAATTTATGTTAATGAGGTCTTAAATCAAGAACCGTCTTTATTTCTTTTCGATGATCACGCGAAAGAACGAAAAAGTATTGATAGAGAAAGAGAGAGAGAGAGAGAGAGAGAGAGAGAGAGAGAGAGAGAGAGAGGGAGAGAGAGAGAGAAAGAGATGAAAAATAGGAAAAGAAGCAAACAAAACTTTTTTTTATTTCCACTCTTCTTCATACCAAAACGAAAAAAAATACTGAAAAAAGTTAATCACTCATTCCCGACATAATGTTAATAATAGTAATAATACTTTACTACTAGAAATTAGAATAAAACTTAGGTAGTACAACATTCATATCACATATATATATATATATATATATATATATATATATATATATATATATATATATATATATATATATATGGTGTGTGTGTGTGTATGTGCGTGTGTGTGTGTGTGTGTGGGTGTGAAAAAGTGAACCAAAAAAAAAAATCATCGATCCATCACTGGGATGAAAGAATATGAAGAGGTATTCATCTCTTCACAAGAAGTTGAACGACGACGGACCAAATGAAATGAATATAAATTATTTACAACCAAGAAGATGAAAAAAGGTTGAACAGAAGAACCAAATTACAAATCAGTTGTCGAATTATATATAATCGGTATAACATGCCTTCGTTATGTAATATGTACAATTCATCAAATCAAATCCCTCAAAGCTAAACTAATTTATGGGTGAAAACTATTATAATACAAAATTGCCAGTTCCAGTAAGAATAGGTTAGCACACGCACACGCACACACACACACACACACATGCAGTTGATTGAATAAATTGTGACTATGACATACGACTTTTAAAGCAAGCACTCACACACAAACACACACGAATGAACAAACACATACACTCACTCACTCTCTCTTTTTTTGATATATATATAAATTGATAAATAAACGTATAATCAAATAAATATAATTCTTATAATAACAAAAACAACAATAACAATAATAATAATAAGGTTAATAATTTCATGCAAAATTGTTCTACATAAAAACCAGACTCATCTGATTCTAGTTATCTCTCTATCTGTCTGTCTATTATGGTTGTCGTCAAATTCGACTTCATCGTCGTAGTCGTCACCCTCATCCTTTCATCACCATCATCACTATCACCACCATCAATAATAACAACAACGAACGAACGAACGAACAAACAAACGAACGAACAAACGAACGAACATAAAAAACATAAAATCACTGCAATCCCAAACAACCAAACAATCGTTAGCATATCACAAAACTTCTTTATTACTACTACTACTACTACTGTTATTATTATTACTATTATTATTATTATTATTATTACTGTTGTTGTTGTTATTCAAGTTGTCCAGGTAGAGGAGATGTGCCGGTCGGTGCATCTTCAAGTGATGCCTCGCCTCATCAACCGGAAACCACCTCCGCTTCCTTCCTGTGAAGGTGTGATTGCATACAACCTCAAGAAGTTGGTTTAACAAAGTCTAATGTTCAATTTCAGAAAAGAATTTATTATGTCGTTTTACAATCAATCAATCAATCAATCAATCAATCAATCAATCAACCAATCAATCAGCCAATCAATCAATCGATCGATCAATCAATCATTCATTCAACATCATTAACATTCAGAACAAAATGAAAACAACATCACCAACAACCGCAGAAACAGAAAAGTGTTTTTCAAAGTCCAAAAGTTAAAAAATTATTAATTCTCAACTCAATCAAAAAATTTTGTAATAATGACTAAAATTATTATAAAATGAATGAATGAGTGAATGAATGAATGAATGAATGAATGAATGAATGAATAAGTGATGAAACAAACCGATGCTAATCATTTCATCCCATTCATCAAGAACCTCTCCGACCACCATCACAAACACGAACGTTCGAGTCTTGCATTCCATACTCTGTCAGAGGATTCATCATCTCAACATAACCATCAATATCATTAGTGAATAACATTGTTACAATGGAATTTTTAGCTAACAGAAAGTACACACACATGTGAAAATTCACTTTTTTAAATAAAAAACTATTAAAATCAAAACTATTCTTAAAATGAACCATTTAATATATGCCCTAACTGACCTCAAAAACACCAAGACACCTGTCCAGTCGACCTTTGACCCCGGCCTCCTCAAGGACTTCTCGAAGGGCAGCCACCTGGATGTCCTCGGTGGGTTCGATACCCCCTCCAGGGATTATCCAGAGCTCTGGGTCTCGATTCGCTGAGACCAATAAAATCTGAAAATATGGGTGCAGAGATTTTTTGAAATTTGTCATTATATGATGAAATATGGTGGAATCATTATTTTATTGCATCATCACATGATATATTTCATCAGTGCATGGTCATAATGCATACACCTAATCATTTTGTTCTGTCATTTAAATTTGAAAAGAATAGTTTAGTTAGTTTCTTTAGCCTTTATCTATATAGAAAAAGTCTAGAGCATCAAAACAAGTGACATTATTAGTTAATAATGTTACTAATTTTGCTGACGATATTGCTACCTTAGATCGGGAAAATCCAAAAGTATCGTGCACCAAGTAAGCGAACAAATCAAACTCAGCATGACTGATGGAATTTTACACAAAAATTACAATCCATTACACAAATGATTGGAAGAAACCAATTTGTTAACCACCTCAGTCTCATTGCAGTCCTTCACACACACACAGGCTGCCCTCCTCCTGAATCCATCATCGTCGTAAGTTCTCGCTGTTTTCTGCTTTGCCATCGTAATGCTCGTTGTCATGAAATTAGTGTATGATGTTTTACAAAAATAACAGTGCTAAAAACAACTTTTTTAATTGCTTATAATGCCTTAAAAAGATATTAGGCTATAATTAAAACGTTTCTGACTATTAAATCACTTGCGTACGTTATAAGTGATACAATGATTAGAAATACTATATAAAGATTGCAATCAATTAGTGGCGAATGACAAAAATTAGGCGTGAAATCAGTTTGAACTAGTTCAAACTGAAATCTATTTTTTATTTTTTTAACTTATGAAATTAGTAAAAAAAAAATAAAATGGAAACAGAACAAGAATAAATGACAAGAATCATCGCGTCGTGTAAAAAATAATAATGGAAGTCATTTTTTTAAAAAAAGGATTTAAATCCTAATTTCTGGAGAAATGTCTACAAGAAGCTCGGGAATTTAAAAGCGAGTAGCGATAAATAACAAAATGAAGAGCAATGAATTTAAAATTTTTTTAATTTTCAACGAACTTTTAGCACATGCCCATTTTAATTGTGATCAAAACATGACCAAACAAACTGGAACAGAGCCTATCTAGCAAACTCAGACTGAAGAAAATGATCGTCATATCAATACGACATGCCGTGATTTTTGCGAATAACTGCATTTCTCTTGTTCTAATACATACATATATGCATATTTAAGTAATTTATGAAAAATTTCACTATACTATATACCAAAAACGTCTGGATTTCCAATAGCAAATTATACATTTTCACGCTAAGAATATTGAATACTACATGAATCTATTAAAAGAACTAAATACAAATAAATTTATCAACGAATGAACGAACGAAAAAAAGCAAGTTACAAAAACTAAGAATGTATTAATGGATAATTTTGTAAAAAAAAAAACTAATTAGATTAAATGCAGTAAAGATGTACATAATTTTTCTATCTCCTTACACAAACGAACGAACGAACAAACAAACGAACAACAAACAAGCAAACAAACAGTCACACCTGCAAGCACATACATTCTGATAATACAAGAGTCTGAATTGGCCAGAATTTCACATTCCTACACAAACTCAAGCATTAAATAAAGATGGCATACCTATTAAATAATAATAATATTTACACATGAAAATATACAGGAAGAAATTATGTTATCAAATATATAGGTTTGAATCAAAACTAAAATCTTTTAATATTGATTGCGTTGTTCATTTATTAAAAGACTTTATCGCCCATCTTGACTTTCTGGATCTATGAGAGGAAAAAAGTAATTATTGATAATAAGAGTGAATAATTATGTTATTATAATATTATTATTTAATTATTATTACAAAAAAACAAATTATTTTTAAATAAAATCGTATTGAAATGACATGACTACCAACAAAATCACTAACAACCAGACACCACTGTGAACAACAACCTGCAAAATAGCTACAATAACTCCAAAGAGGCCAATGGCACTACCAAAAATCTCTACCACAAGAATTTTTACAAAGAGAGTTGCATTTTGAGCATCTGCCAGAGCAGCTCCGGATCCAACGATGCCGACGCAAATCCCACAAAACAGGTTTGAGAAACCAACCGTCAACCCAGCTCCAAACATCGAGTAACCTGTGATGTAAGTGTAGTTTGTATGTTTCTTTGTGTGTCTGTTTGTTTGTGTGTTTGAAACCCTAACTCATACCAGCAAAATGGTTATTATAGACAAGTTTCTCTCGTTCAGCTTGAGTCTTCAACATCCATTTGGACTCATCAAATGACTGAAAATGAATAAAAAATTCATCATCATAAAAATTTTCTATCAGTTAATAACAAAACAATCAATCAAAAACTGAATAAAAAATAAAAATCTAACTAAATTTAAAAACTGACTTTGAAAATTTAAAATTTTAAATGAATAAAAGTATGAAAAACGTACCTGTTCATAGTTGCTGATGACAATAGCAAGAATTATCCCATAGATGGCAACAGCTTCACAAAATATGATACTCACTAAATTCTTTGTTCTAATTCTTGGAGCCTTCACACCCCCACCCAAAATACTTGAGCCTGTTGTCAGAATGCCCCTATGGTGTACAGTAGAAATGTATTTAATGACTTAACTCACTAATCCCTAATCTGTCCTAATTAAAAACTCACCATGCAGCCCCCACAACTGATAGAGATATGCTGAGGCCGATTCCAAGATTGGCCCACATGAATGGCGATGTTTGATCAAGAATCCTACAAATATTTCAATGTTTTTTAGATAACTTTCAACAAAAATAACAGTGGACAAAAAATTTACCAGCTGATTCCATATCTATAGCCTTGATTGGTGAATGTGAAATAAAAACCTGCAAAAAGATTATCATACTTTTTATTTAGAGCACTGCTTAGTTAGTGTTGTGTAATTTAAACTATTTTAAAAACTATTAATTTAAATTTAAAGTAAAAAATAGTAAAAATGACATTAAGATTAAAAAATTAAATAAAGCTTAAAAAATATGTTTAATTTACAGAAAACTTTCAATAAATTTGATCAATTGCAAGTATAAATATGGACATTTTAATAACTGATTAAAATGCAAAAAAAGTGAAAATTAATCCGAGAAATTGCAGAGAATTAAGACAAACTGACTGCAGATGATGAACGCAAGTAAGGAAGCAGATACAACGCTGATGATCGGAATTTTAAATGAAACAGACATTTTTATTTAACAATTTAATAAATAAATAATTTAATAATTATTAAATAAAGAAAAAATAAAACAATTTTTCAGTGGTTTTGTCGGATTTTTAATGAGAACCGGACTGAAACCTGATCAGGGCGGTTTAGACTAGATCGATGTTTACGCGACCCATGATGATAATAATAATAATTGAAATATATAAAATGGTAAAATGCAGAAATCCGTTTCAGATTAAATTTAACTCTTTTTCATTCTTATAGACTTACATTAAGTACAATTACTGCATTAAACGTTGAAAAGATGGTTTCTAGTTTATTTTTAAATGTAACATTCAACATATCTTCACAATTTTATCATTAAAAAGTTAGTGTTATATTATATATATATATATATACCTATATATATATGTATTTATATATATATATATATATATAATATAATATAAATATCTATATATAAGCATACATAAAAATAATGATGAAGCAAAGGATGAATAATAAATAGTTAAACAAATCAAAGCCTTAAACACACATACACACACACACAAACACAAACACGTGTATATATATATATATATATATATATACATGGGTTCGGTATATATAAATAGAGAGTTGAGTTGTTCTTATCGTGGCTAGCCAAGTGAAGCTCTGTTAATGTTTAAGTTTGTTTATGTTTATTCAATAACGAGTTTAATAATAATAAAAATAATAATATTATTATAATAAAAATAATAGTAATATTATGGTGGTATAACATCATAAACATTATTTATGCATGTAAAATCATTCAATGTATGTAAAATCATTCAGAATGGATACGAACAAGATCGATAGCGACATCAACAACAACATTAACAACAACATCAACAACAACAACATTACAAACAACAACAACAAGAATAACAATAATTTAAATCACATTAACAACAACGACGCCAACAACATTAGCGAACATTGCTACGTGAATGACGGAGACCACAACATTAATAATAATAATAATAATAATAATAACAACAATAATATTATAAATAATTATAACGACAATATTAACAACGTTAACAACAACAACAACAAAAGTCATTCAACTCCAGACAACATTAACGACAGCGTTACTAATAGTTACATTCCTACTGACGATCGTGACAGCAATAATGTCACGCACAACAACAACAAATATAGCATCAACAACCACAACAACATCATCAATACCAATAACAAAGATAGCAAGACATGCAAAGACAACAAAACATGCAGAGATAACAACATCAAAGATTATAAAACATGCAAAGATAACCACAAGAGCAAAGATAGTAAAACATGCAAAGATAACAAAACGTACAACAATATATCGCCCGATTATTTAGCGCAGCTTTTAAGTGACCGGAAGAAACTTCAGACATTCAGTGGTCTGTTTATACATCTGGACAAGTTACTGGACAACGGTCAGTATTGACATAGGGCTGGTAGCAAAACTCAAATATCCTATCGCCAATAGCGATGCAAGCTTTAAAATCCATTAGAATAATATCAGTAATTAATTTATCTATCATTCTCTCTATCTCTTCTCTCCCCCCCTCTCTCTCTCTCTCTCTCTCTCTCTCTCTCTCTCTTTTAAGATAATATTATGAAATTTATATAAATTCGTATTAAGCATGAAACCCATCATCAGTCATCGTCATCGTCATCATCGACTACAGAGATAATAAAAATTCGCGCCAATTTGTTCCACTTACCGGTACCGACGAGTACCGACAGCGATGGAAAACTTCCAGAACCGATAGGAGAAACCGTGTCGGTATCCGAAAAAGTATTGATACCGGTACACAAGTACCCCGATGTTAGTATATCGGTGATGACGATGATGATGATGACGACGACGATGATGATGATGATATCTGGATGTACATGTATAACTCAGGCTCAAACGACTTAGTCTTAATTATTGATTTATAAATATTATTGTTGTTGATGTTTACAATACATTGCTATCATCATCAACATCATTATTATCATCGTCATCATCATCACCAACATCGTCATCATCATCGAATCTTTTTTTAGCTAGGCCTAAATTGGGAATTTAACATTGCTGCCTGCCATTAAGTTTTACGAGGCATACAGTTATGCTAAGTCGACGATTTTAAAAATAACTCTAAAATGTGGAAATGTTTAAGAAATTATTGTAATTATTATTATAATTGTTGTTGTTATTGTTGTTGTTATTATTGTTGTTATTGATGTTGTTGTTGTTGCATAACAACTAGTTAATTTAATAATAGTAATTAATGCATTTTCGTCGTGATCATCATCATCATCATCATCGTCTCCGTCGTCATCATCATCATCACCATCGTCATTATCATCATCATCATCGTTATCATCATCATCATCATCATCCCCACCATCATTATCAAAGCCACCAGACCGCCGTTGTTAAATTGCAGAAGTTAAATCCGATACTCAAGTGTTTATATTTTTGTATGTATGTATGTATGTATGTATGTATGTATGTATGTATGTACGTATGTGTGTTGTGTGTGTGTTGTGTGTACAAGAATGTACGTATTTATTTAGCGCTGGATTTGTTTTTCCAGATGATGGTTGCCACACTTGCTATAAGAAACAGATGAAAAATTTTGAAAGGAGATAGAGAGAAAGAGGGAGAGAGAGAAAGAGAGAGAGAAAGAGAGAGAGGGGGGTAGATTGAAAAATAATTGATGAAAAAAAAACACATAAAAGAAGAAGTTAATAGAAGAAAAATAACATAAATAAGGGATGGAAAGAAAACAGTTAAGATAAGCAGATTTTTATACATCACAATACATCCATCTACTGACTCATTCAATGTATATGTACACACACACACGTACATACACACCTAAACCTACACACACACACCACACACACACTACATATGTACATACATACATACATACATACATACATACATACATACAAACAAGGCCAAAACATGTTATTTAATATTTAATGGGAAAGCTTGGTTGTGGTGGGAATTCGGTTAGGCGATAATTTCAACACAATATAACATTATTAATAACCGCTTAGCAAGTTATATACTACAAATATACGTACATACATACATGCATACATACATACATACATACATACATACATACATACATACATACATACATACATACATACATACATACATACATACATACATACACACATACACACATACATACATACATACATACATACATACATACATACATACATACATAAATACATACACGCACACACGCATACACACAGCACAAGACAACAAACGAAGATGATAAAGATATTTTTCGTCTAAATCAAAATAGGCTTTTTTGAAGAGATCAGTAGGTGAGTGATAAAAATAATAAAAAATAAGTCATAATAATAATAATCATAATAATAATAAGAAGAAGAAGAAGATGAAGAAGGAGAAGAAGAAGAAGAAGAGGAGGAAGAAGGAGGAGAAGAAGAAGAAGAAAAGAAGAAGAAGGAGAAGAGTAAGAAGAAAATGCCTGCTGTATTTTTTGTGATAAGATGTTTTATAAATCAGGAGCTGAGCGTTTAATGAAAATAATAATAAAAATAGATGATGCTGTTTAAACTTATTATTATATTATTATTATTATTATTATCATATTATTATTATATTTCTTTGTAAGATATATTTAGTTCTCTACGCGCTAACTCATCGCAACGTTTGTTTTTATATGTGCTCGTTCGTTCGTTCGTTCGTTCGGACGTTCGTGTTTGTATGTACGTATGTAAATAAATGTAAATGTGTTTGTGTGTGTGTGTGCGTGTGCATGTCTGTGTGTGTGTGTGTGTGTTAGTATTTTTCTAATGAAAAATCTGTGAAACCTTAGTACATTCAGGGTGGTGAACTGAAATACTATCTTAGTTTGAATGGTGATAAAAATTTATTAATACGTTAGTAAATAAAACCGATTATTTTTATTATTATGATTATTATTTTATTATTATTATTATTGCTGTTGTTGTTATATTATTATTATTATTATTATTATTAATTTTTATTTTTCTCAATGCCACATGCTTAATTCTTAAAAAAATTCCCAACCTCAGCTTATGCAAACATTCAACTCAACAAGACGACATTCTAAAATAAATAACAATAATAACTGAGAATAATAATAATAATAAGATTAATAATAAATGTGTAATAATTAATTTTGTTAACTACTGAATGCAATTTTAATAGATTACTCATACATTCGTACACTACCATCAATGCTATCATCATTATCACCATTGCTATCATCATGACCGCCATCATCATCATCACTATCATCATCAACATCATCATCAACATCATCGTCATCATCATCGTCATCATTATCACCAGTACAACTTCGTTGGTCGGTTATTAGGACCACGTGGTAGAACGGCCAAACAGTTCGAGACGGACATGGAGTGTAAGATTATGATCCGGGGGAGAGGGTCTTTGAGAGATGTTGCGAAGGTGGTGAGTGCACGGAGAGTTCATAATTATGACCATAATTAACTGGAATTATTCATAATTATAGTTATATTTAGTTATAATAACCTGTCTCGATGAAATTGATCATCTTGAAAATTTTATGGCAACTATCAACCAATCATTCAATCAATCAATCAACCAGCCAACCAACCAACCAATTAATCAATCAATCATTCAATCAATCAACCAGCCAACCAACCAACTAATCAATCAATCAACCAATCAACCAGGACATCAAAAAGTTGAAAACCAACCAAGAATTCATGAACGAGGACTTGCACGTGTTGGTGACAGTCGAAGATACGGAGAACAGGGTTCACATCAAGTTGAGAAGGGCCGTCGAAGCTATTGAAAGATTTTTTATTCCGGCTGTAAGTACGTTTGTGTGTGTTTGTATGTATGTATGTACATACTCGCACACACACGCACAAACACACACACAGCCTGAGGGTGAAGATTGCCTAAAGAAGAAACAGCTGATGGAGTTGGCCATCATCAACGGGACGTACAGAGAAACAAAATCATCATCATCACCACCGTCATCATTATCATCACCATCATTACTATCATCATCGTCGTCGTCACAGTTTTTGTTATCGTCGCTACCGCCACAAGGTCTAGCGACACAATTTATAAGTAGGTGATGATGATGATGATGACGATGTGGTTGTTGCAGCTGCTGCAGCAGCAGCTGCTGATGGTGATGATATTGAGGAGGATGACGATAATGATGATAGCATAATAATGAATATTGTACAGATTATACTTACGTAATCATTAATGTTATCATTATTATAATTATAGCTGACGGACCAACTAAATGTGTAATGCCAACAACTCATTTTCTACTGCAACAACAACAACAACAACAACATCAACTCGTTTTAACGTCGCCACAAAGTCGAATGAAGACATCAACAACAACATCAACATTCAACAACAACGCGACAACAAACCAATTAATAATAAACTCCAATCCCCAGTTCGCCACCAACTTAACTAACATACAGGACCTAATCCTACCGCAACTACATTACACTAACTCTAATCAGTTAGTAGTTCAGCTAGACCCAAGTCAGCTCGTTCATGCGCCATCTTTTGTCGACCTATCCAGTGCCTTTATTTCTGCTACTGATAATAATCTTCAATTTGGTTGGTCGGTTGGTTGGTTGGTTGATTAGTTTGTTGATTGGTTGGTTGGTTGGTTGATTAGTTTGTTGGTTGGTTGGTTGACTGATTATTTGATTGATTAGTTGATTCTCGCACATGTAGCTGAGACAAAAAGTTACAGAAATTAATACGTT